AGCGTAGACCGGGGCAATGCTGCAGGAGATAGCTGTAGCCCGGGGACATGCTGCAGGAGATAGTCATAGACCCGGGGACATGCTGCAGGAGATAGTCGTAGACCCGGGACATGCTGCAGGAGATAGTCGTAGACTGGGGACATGCTGCAGGAGATAATCGTAGACCGGGGACATGCTGCAGGAGATAGTTGTAGACCGGGGACATGCTGAAGGAGATAGTCATAGACCCGGGGACATGCTGCAGGAGATAGTCGTAGACCGAGGACATGCTGCAGGAGATAGTCGTTGACCGGGGACATGCTGCAGGAGATAGTCATAGACCCGCGGACATGCTGCAGGAGATAGTCATAGACCTGGGAACATGCTGCAGGAGATAGTCGTAGACCAGGAACATGCTGCAGGAGCTAATTACAGACCGGGCACATGCTGCAAGAGATCGTTGTAGACTGGGGACATGCTGCAGGAGATAGTCATAGACCAGGAACATGCTGCAGGAGATCGTTGTAGACTGGGCACATGCTGCAGGAGATCGTTGTAGACCGGGTACATGCTGCAGGAGATGGTCAGACTGGGGACTGCTAAAGATCACTGCACATACAGCCCCTTTCCAAATCAACTGCTGACTGCAAGTTCGAAAGGATCACAAGCTAAAATTAGGGCCCAGTTAGGGACTGAGAAGTTTAATTTCGATCCTGGAACCGGTCTAAATCCAGTGACAACACTACTGTATATTCTTTAACGTGCGGCGACAATGAATCCTGCCTTTTCTCCTTCACTTCCTGTAACATACGTTTTATGCTTTCCAAACTTCGTTAGATCACCTGCTGGACTCTTCGGACCTTTCTGCTTATCCAGTGTTAGACAGGTTCTCGTGTCTTCAACACCTTGAAATCACAACAACCTGGAAGTACATGAGGGACCCTTGTGGGGCCACAAAGAAGAAAGTGCAATGTGCGTAAAGCCATAGCTATCAACAAGCGGAATTCATTTATTTTATTTCCTCTGAAAACTTTATGCCTGAAATATCTGTAAAAAAATAAGTCACGGCAACTGTACTTGCTGTATTTTTCCTGAAGACGTTTCACTGGACATCCGACCAGCTTTCTCAGTTCAGAATGACTTGTAGAAAAAATGATCTGGGAATAAATATGGTGAATGATCCTCCAATCCAGATAATCTGTTAGTCACAACCAGGACTAGAAGGTGTTCTTAACCTGTTATTTTTTATAGCTATACCATGACCTGGATGAATGAGAACCTTCACAGACTCTATACCTGAAATGTCCAGATTGTAGTCTACAGAGCACCATGTGCTGGGTACTCCCGGCATTGCTTCCTACATGTGCTGTCACTGGTGGCAGGTGGTTGGAACAATTGCAGCAATGGCTTCCAACTTATCCTACTTCATTGTACTCAGGAATAACGTCTCAGGTCAATGTCAGGGGGAAATCCCCGGATGGCCTGTGGGCACCACTGTAAAGGCTGGAGATATTTTGAGGGGGAGCAGTTTTGTCTAGCACGTGTCTGAGAAATATAAAGCATGAATTCATAAAAAAATAAAGTAAGAAGGTTCATGTTTAAGGTTCGGGATGTCCGCACGTTCAACACAAAGCGAAGATTAAGAACATGGGGGAGATGACCCCAAACTAGCAGGAGGAAAGTTCACAAAAGTAGAAAGTATTTGTTGGTTTTTACAGAAATAGTAGTCGATTCTTGAAACAGTTTCCCAGCCGAGGTAGGGAGTCGGTCAAACAGTAAATGAATTTAAACATGCTTGGGACAAACATAGATCTATAGGGACACCACCAGCAGAAGTCAGGTGTAGAAGGATACAAACATGGATAGGTAACTTCCATCCAGAGTTTATTCAATGGTTCTGAGCAACACTAAAGGGACTATTTATAACCAATTTGCAGAGCCATTCACCATATGACCCTTTCTGAACATTTGTTCTGTGCAAATAGATGGACAAACAAACGTTCTCAGATACATTTTCTTTTGGGGTCGAACATGTGTACTGTAATGCCCCATTTCGTCCACTGGACGGTGCTCAGGAGCATAGGAAATAAGTATCCATTCATCACGATCCAACCAATACAGACACAAAGAAATTAGTAGGGGGATCAGAACAGACAAGCTACATAAATTATGGAATTACAGTAAAACACACCAAGCAAATCTTTGAAGGATAGATTTATAAAATAAGTTACATATTATAGCAGATAAAAATACTATTTGATTTTCACAAGGTTTTGCAGTCTTTTCTTATCCTGAATGGGCTTTCATAGTTTGTAATGATTACGGTACGGCTCATGACACAGTAGGGATCCTGTAACTGACAAGAACTCGCCAACGTTGAGTGTTGCTCCCTGAGCGAGGTGTCGACCCCTCACTGATGAAAAAACACTGTAGATTGTACGTTGCCAGAACAAGAGAGCAAAGCCTCGCTCATCCAGCCGGCGAGGGAGTGACACATACAAGGTGATGAGAGTTTCACTGCCCTGCTGGCTCCTACAAAGCGAACGTGCCACTGCCATGCACAGGTCTTACAGCTGCACTCCATAGAAATGCACCGATACTAGTGTCGGTAGCGGTGCCGATACCAAGTATTTGGGTGACTACCCGTCCAAATGCTCTCGATGTCTATCCCGATACAGGAACTTCCAGTATCAGGAAACCGGGCGGCGAGTCATTACACACTGCCCGGCTTCCTGATTGGCCGGGAAGCCGACTCCATGCTCTGGTGATGAGGGAGAATGAAGCCAGCTTCCCGGCCAATCAGGAAGCCGGGCAGTGTGTAATGACTCGTGCTTGGCTTCCTAATTGGTCGGAAAGCTGGCCAATCAGGAAGCCAGGTGGAGAGTCATTGCCCGACGCCCGGCTTCCTGATTGGCCAGAATGCTGGCACCATGCTTCCTTGTCCCCTGGTGATGAGGGAGCATGGAGACGGCTTTCCGGCTAATTGGGAAGCCGGGCAGCGAGTCATTACACGCCGCCCGACTTCTTTAATGGAACTTCCGGTATCTGTATTCACTTCTCGATACCGAAAAAAACAGTATTAGTGCATCCCTCATAGAAATACACAAACTGAAAATACATTGATATCTAATGTTTCAGCTTTAATTCAGGTGCATGTGTCTGCAGAAGACCTGACTGCATCTAAGACTTTTGTAGTAGCTGAAATGATAGAACCTGAAGGAAAGGCCGGGGCATAACAATAAAAGTGTCAGTATAATGTCAGGAGTGACACAGGAGTATATAGGGGACCCCTGAAATTCCTTAATGTGGTTTATAGAAGGAGAGTTACTAAACAGCCTATATGTGGTTGACGGAGGGATGCATAGGAACCCCTGCCCCGAGCAGCCAATCAGAAATTAGATTTTTATTATCCTAACCACACTTAACTGATGAGTCATACAATGTTACTCTTCTTTGCATTGTCTTATCACAGCTGGAAAAAAGTCTACGCTGAGTCAGTTTAAAGGAGAACTATGAGGCAAGTGCTTTTCACTCACCTCATAGTTCTAGCCGACCTGTGACAATGAGACTGTCACAGGTCGGCTCAGTAGATCGGGAGGTGAGAGAACACATAACAGCGTTCGCTCACCTCTCGATCCTGTCACAGGGGAGTGGCTGGATTCCCCCCTCCCCGCTCACGCTGACTGGCGGAACGGACGGGGGAGGGTACAGCTGGCTCTGCCTCTAGATAGGCAGAGCCAGCTGTCAGTCACGCAGCTGGGTGGATCCCGGCTCAATTGTCGGGATCGGCTTCAGCTGCGGCGTCTCAGTATACCGCGAGCTGTAGCTTGCGGTATACTGAGCCTAGGGTGACGGGAGGACGCTAGTTTGTGTCCTCCCGTTACCCTAAGGAGAACTATGGGGAAAAGCCTTAACCCCATAGTTCTCCTTTAAGGACAACCAGAGCTTTCAGATGTGACTGCTTATTCTTTAATATTCAGATTCGTCTCACAACGCACTTACATTTCCACCTCTCTCGCAATCTCGCTTGCAGCCCTCAGTGTCAGAAAAAGCATGGCACTCTTTCAACTGCTCCCCTCCTAATATTCAGAGTATGGCCCGACTCCCTGCACAATTCTGTGTCTACATCCACATTGTGCTGACAGTACAATATGAAGCTCAATGAGGTTCAATGAAGGTAGCTGAGCTTTTCCTTCCAGACTCCGTTACAAGGAGGGTGAGTGGCCATGCAGAGGAGCTCTATTCTTTCATATGTTCCTGGCAGACCTGGGCCCCCAGAAAGTGTTACTGTTGTAGGTGTGTGTGTGTGTGTATTGAATTGGAGCTGTATGTGGCACTAAATTATGTAAATACTTTTTTTAAAGACCCCAACTCTGGCCACTGATTTTCAGTTTTGGGAAAAGTTACAACCTCTGTTATGTTTCTTGGCGGAGTCCCCATTATGGAGAGTTTGTTTCACGTCCTGTTCCCCTGAAGGAAGTTCAATGGAATCACACAGAGCTTTCTACTATGGTGTTTCCTGCCTGTGTCCCCATTGGAGAGACTGCCCCTTACTGTGTGCCATGGTGTCACCATAAGGGGAAATGTGTCCTGGTGACTTTAATTTTTAAAGCTGAACTTCAGGCACATAAAAGCAAAAATGAATGCAGCTCTGTCTTCATTAATAAGCCATCAAATGTGTTTTGTAAATACATATAAGAACCAGCATTTGACCTGGAATCAACCTCTTGCAGTCCCTGTACAGCAGAGCTCAAACTGGGGGAGGAAAAAGCAGCGCAAGGAGCCAGTTAAGTGTGCTGCAGTGCAAGGAGTCATGCTAATAGGAGAGAGTGACAGAGAGAGGAGCTCATCAGTGTACTGCTGCTCCTTCCACTATCCAGTCAAAGGCTGGGGGGCAGGAAAGAGACCTGTAAGCGAAAGTGGAACTGCAGCAAAGGAAGACTGGGTCTCTTGCCCTGCCAAGCAAGGCTGCTGTGTAAAGCTCAGGACTTGATGGAAAAAATACAAATCCTTTGGCCGGTATAACAGCTCTCATACATGTTTTTATGCTTTGAGGGTATTGGCAGAGCCGTGGAAGAGGTGGAAGATCAGAGGTAAAGAAGCCTTACACTATGTCAAATCTCCAGGACAGGAAGTGAAGGGAACTCTCCCCACTGATGGGTTTTTATTACAAACAGAGGTTGTAACCCTTCCCCATTCTATCCGATTTTGGCCGGATTCGGCCTTCTGAGACCTGCATCTATCCAGCATCCAGCCTCACTAAACCTCAATATCACTTAACATCCCTCATACGTGAACACTGAATGTGCTAAAACATCATTAGGATCTAGGTACAGAGAGAAGTCGCTATCACGGATGACAAGACGGCTACATACACAGAGCAACATTAAACAATGAATTGGTAACACACCGATTAGGTATTTGGATAGCAAAGCAAAAGGGAACTGTAAGCACAGTACAGCGCAACACAGATTGGGAAGTACAGCATGTTTTTTCGAGGTCTTTTTCTTTTTTCCCTTCTTCGTAAATTTTTTGTTTTAGTAGTTGTCAGCCAAAAAAAAAAAAAAAAACTCCATTAGCTTTAGGTTATTCTGTTAATAAAAGCTCCGTGTCCTCTTTTTTTTTTTAGGATCTTGATATAGATAGAGAACCATCAACCAAAATGCTCACAGTAGGCTCACTTCACATTACACGTAAGAACTTGTTGGTTCTGCTCCGTCTTTATCCGGCCACAATTACTCGATCATTTTTCTTTTGGATGGTGGGATGAGATGGCAGGGGAGATCGTTGGGAAGCTCGTGGCCTTCTAGTTTAACCTTGATGAGGTGGTTGGCTAAGGCAAACTCGTCGTCGTCCAGCAGGCCGTCCTTGTCTATGTCGGCCAGTTTCCAGATCTTGCCCAGGACTGTGTTGGGCAGTTTGGACTTCACCATCTCCCTCTTGGCGTTGGCCCCGGTGACCTTGCCGTTGACAGGAGACAGCGTGTAGAAGATTTCGTCGTACATGGGCTTGTCTCTGGACACCACCCAGTCGGCGTCGTCAATGCCTTCTCCTGCCCCCTCGCCGTAGCCGTGCCCAAAGGGGCCGTTCAAGGTGCCCTCAAACGCGCCACCTTTAACCATCTGAACTGGTTTCTGGGTTTCTTCCTGTCTAACCAGGACCATCAAGTGGGCGATGTCGTGAGCCAGCATCTCGTCCACAGTTTCCAGAAGCTTGTTCTTCAGGGGTTGGAACTTTGTAAAGTCTTGGGATTGTAGAAGGTCCTAAGTAGAAAAATACAAATAAATTATTCTTGGATGGTGAAGTTAGCCCATCACAAGTGAACTTTAATGTGGAAACTTCTTTTGCTTAAAGAGGAAAAACTTCACCCTTATCCTAAAAATGGCAACAAAGACAACTTTAGAAATATGTACTATTGGCAATCTACACATACTTATCGATGCTTGCCAATGTTTTATTCTTTGCATTCCTTATTTTTCTTTCCTTTCCCATGGTGGCCATTTTCACTAAGGGCAGATGAATCCATCTCCCTAGACTTCCTGCACCTTTGGCTCTTCCTCCTAGACCATGTGACAGTCCACATCATCTCAGTGGGAAGACATGCCCTTCTCCTCTGAGATCTCGTGAGATTTTGCAGTTTGCACATGAGATTTCCCAGGAAGGCACTGGTGATGTAGCCTTCCCAGGATACATCTCTCTACAATCGCCAGTGCCTCACTCAACCAGAAAGTCCTAACTTGTAAGCAAAAGCAAAAAATGTTGATATAATGAATGCAAAATGAAAGGGAGGCCGCTTTAAATGCACCTGGAATGTATTTAGCTGATTTAAATTGAAAGTTCAGTGGCGCTTTAAAACAGAACTGTGGCCCAACCTTTTTTTGCCAGAGTTCTCTTTAGGGTCACAGGAGGACATATACTAATGTCCTCCTGTGACTCAAAACTCAGCATATAGCAGGCTATTGCGTTGCAGCCAGGACGGATCCTGACAATATTGCCGAGATCCACCCACTGCCTGATTGACAGCTGACTCTGCCTCTCTAGAGGCAGAGCCAGCTGTGCCCATCCCCTCCCCGTCCATCCGTCTAGTCAGTGCTGGAGGAATGGAGAGGGGAGGAGGGATTCCATACGAGGAGCTGTGACTGACAGTCACCATTCACTGCAGGGAGAAGATCGGGAACTGAGTGATCGGCAGTATGTGATCGCTCAGTTCTCGAGCTATAGAGCCGATGGGTGACAGCTTAAGTGTCACTTGTTGGCTCTAATCTTGGGGGCGAGTGCATTTAACTTTCCCCATAATTCTCCTTTAAAGTGCATTTCTGGGGAAAAACACACTATATTCAGTGAATCTATGCATACACAATTCCCCATTCTGTCAACCTAAAAATGCTACAAGTACAGAGAAATACAATGAGCTCCTAATTTCCTGTAGTGAGCCGACAGCGTTGCTACAGTGAAATTCCAAGCAGTGTTGTCAGCCCTGCCAGGTTTCATCTTGCTAAACTACAGAATACTTCCCCCTCTCCTCATCTGCAGGGAGTTGTTCTGTTGTCCAGAGCCGGAGTGTAGTCACTGGGTGTAGAAAATGCCCTGTGCTTGGTAGTCAGTAAAATAATTACCTAGCTCATGTGGTCATTGGGAGGACCAATACTGCCCTATTGTTGGTATAATAGTTACATAGTATTTGAGGTTGAATAAAGACATTAGTCCATCAAGTCCAACCCATAGGATCTCATTCTTAGGAGTACCCGTACCCCTGTATATTACGGTCCCTTAAGAAATCGTCCAAAAGTTTCTTGAACAATTCCACACTCTTAGCTGAAATCAATGCCTGTGGCAGTGAGTTCCAGACCCTAACCCCTCTAACTGTGAAGAACCCCCTTCGCCCCTTGTGCTGGAATTTTTTTCCACCAATTTTAGGTGGTGGCCTCTAGTTTTTGTAATGGAGTTAATTTTAAATAGTTTGTCGCTGATGTTGCTTTCACATTTGAACATCTTGTACATGGAAGGAATAGAGACATATTGTTTGTATAAGGGGTAGGAACATTGCCTCTTTCTGGGAGAAATTGTGCCCCATTAATGGTCAGAGTGGGAGGAATTGTGGCCATCGTCGGTGTCAAAGGGAGGAATTATGCCCCATCAATATTGTTGGTGGGGGGAATTTTGCCCCAGGGTTTGTGTCAGTGGGAAGAATAGCACCCCAAGGGCCAGATGAAGGTAAGCAGTTTGGAAACCACTGCTATACATTATATTCCAGCATGAGGCTTACATGCCGCAGAACAGACCAACATCTGGGCAGACATGTCTAGGAGGATCAACATTACTAACATATGTAAAAGAGGTCTGTACACATACAATACAATTATATATAAATCACAGATATCCTGTTACTTGTTCCAAAGCCGTCTACGTCTAAAAACAACCAGTTGTCTCTGCCTGGATCTTCTTCCCTTAGGACAGAGCCAAGTTTACACCAGCGGGATCTGGAACTTATCACCGCTCCTTGCCAGGCTTTTATTAATCTAATAAATGACAGTGTTGCCTTGGAAGAGCTGAAAACTTTCCTAAATAAAACACAGTAAACATGAACGTTGACTTATATTTATCCCTTGTTAATTCTTTGTGAAAACTGCAATAGGAATTTTGTAGAAGAGTTCGATGTCTGAACTATGTATTTTAAAGGGTCACTCCACCTAGCATGGCTATTTCATAACGGATTCATAGATTTCAGTTTTTGGTTATTGCTGAGAAGCGAAATCACCCAGCACTTCTTTAGCTCTAACCTACCGGAGGGCAACTCCGGTCTTCCAGCTGTTGTGGAACTACAAGTCCCATGAGGCATTGCAAGACTGACAGTTGCAAACATAACTCCTAAAGGCAGAGGCATGTTAGGATTTGTAGTTAAAGCACAGCTGGAGGGCTGGAGTTGCCCGCCCCTGCTCTAATCTCACCTCCAAAGTCCCTGATTAGAACTAGGCCTCATGCACCTGGGCTCATGAGGCTGTAGAACATAAATTGCGGGCACAGTTTTACTCCCGCATGCAGCTGCTGCATGCCTGGCAATATACAAGTAGGGGCATAAACCTGCATACAAGTAGGGGCATAAACCTGCATACAAGTAGGGGCATAAACCTGCATACAAGTAGGGGCATAAACCTGCATACAAGTAGGGGTATAAACCTGCATACAAGTAGGGGTATAAACCTGCATGCAAGTAGGGGCATAAACCTGCATACAAGTAGGGGCATAAACCTGCATACAAGTAGGGGCATAAAATTGCATACAAGTAGGGGCATAAACCTGCATATAAGTAGAGGCATAAACCTGCATATCGCCCCCTACAGCCATCCATTAATATGGGTGACTGTATGTGGTTGCTGTATGTGGCAGCTGTGTATCGCATACGTAAGGATATTCCACACCTGATGGATATGTCCCTTGTAACCTCCTTGCTGGGTGCTGTAGTAGCCAGAGTTGGCACCGCATGCATACCAAGTAAAAATACCAGCACACCGTCTTCTTCATCATGGAAATGTTTTTATTGATGTCAAACAATCACATAAAGAAGCAATGTTTCGAGATTGCATAGAGTCCCTTCATCAGGCAATAGAGACATTGTCTGATCAATGGACCCTGATGCCTGATGAAGGGACCCTGCGTGGTCTTAAAACGCTGTTTCTTTCTTTGAAACCATGATTGCCTAAAGTCAGTAAAAGCATTTTCATGATGCAGATGATGTTGTGCTGGTGACTCACTTTCTCCATAGCCGTGTATCCCGGGCACAGAAATACACCCGAAATGTACATTATATGGCCTCATGCACCCGTGATTGAAAACTAACTGTACATTAGAGCTGAAGTCTGGCTTGGACACAAAATGACCCTTGCAGTGGGATTCAATGATGAATAAAGTGCATCACTTACCTTATTATTTGCTCCCCCGACAGCTGTTGCTCTTCTGCTCTCTCTGATGCTTCGGGAATGTGGGCAGAGTCTTCATATACAATGCAGGACCATTGCATTGTACATGATGATGCTGGAGAGCTGTGACTGCTCTGGCAGTGAAGAGAAGCGGCTTTGGGGGACTGATACTGAGAGTATTTCTCCCGATTACAATCTCTTTAGACAAAGACAGCTGTTAACAAGCAGTGCAGGGGTAACTTCACCAGACCAGACTTCAGCTCAACCACAGTAAAAAGAGTTTAGTGATTGGGTTTTCTTTAAGTGCCCGGGGTCCAGGAAGCTGAATAGCACAGTGGAGCAGACAAGCAGGCACCTGAAGGCTATGCGATACCAGTGGAAGTTCAGTATGACTTCAAGTTTGCTTTAACCTAAATGCTTATTGATAATTGCAATGAGAAGATGAGAAGATACGATGAACGCTTTGGTGCAGCATCATCGCAGCTGGAAAGCCAGCCCCAAAAATGTGAATGGTTTTTAACCCGAGTAGTTAAAACAGATTAGTTTCTGGGGGTTGTTTTTTTGCTGGCTAGCTTGAAAGTGAGCTGGGAACCTCTTTTTGTGTACGGTTTGTTTATTGCCACAGTGGCGTCACAAAGGGGATGCGGCCCGCACCCTGGTGACACCAAAATGACTGAAAGTCCCGACAGTGTCAGGAGAGAGGAGGGGACTCGGAGGCATACCTCATCCCGCCGGGTTAACGGCCCCTCCTCTCTCTGCCGGCGTCGATCACTAAGATGGCTACCGGCAGGCATCAATCAGATGGCTGCGCACGCGCGATGACGACACAGCGGGGTGTCACCCGGTCTCGGGACCCCCTGTATTGCCCTGCTCGTGTACATCTTTGCCTTTTTGCTGGTTTCAAACACATCAGAGCGGCTTCCATTTTTGCATTTGGGATTTATTCCATTTCCAAAATGGATTAAGCCGTCATTGGGGCACATACAAGGAGCGGCGTTGTATTCATGAAACAGGCTATGGAAGGGTTCGTATACTCATCAGTACGTCCACAGTACCTGCATCTTCTTCAGGTTTGGAAAGTCTCCCGGAGAGATCTGATGTTCTTTCTCAATGCGACCGTAGATCTCGCCCAGAGTGCCGATCAGCTCTTTCTTCTTGTTGTCCTTGCCAAATACCGTCGGCATCTCCTTCTTCAGGGAGCTGATAATATATGCGTGGACCTACGATGGCACAAAACCAAGACTTTTTGTTAGTTTAGGACAGGGTGGGGAACGGATAGACCATATGCCGGATTTTTATTGAGGTTTGCGCACCCATTGGAGAGATTTTCCCTTACTTCCCGTCAGTAGAGAAAGTGATGGAAAAATCTCTCCAGTTCATAATATTTCACTTTGAGATATAATAAAAATCTAGATGCAAAAAGCAGCTTTGTAAATATAACCTCTTAACTCTTGTTTTTCCTCTGTGCAACCAGAATTAGCATTGCAGGCAAATATCAGAGTAAACACCGCTTTGTTTATTTTCAGGCAGTCTGCAGTGAACAATGATATGTAGTCTGCACTATACAAAGCAACAAAACTCAGACTGAGATCCAGAGCTTTATCCTGATCGTCTTCCAAACAGGAGCCATGATTTAGTATTTTATTACTGAATCTCTTATTCTGGCAGGAAAAGAATGTTAAGATCATCCGGATGTAAACTTCTAATACACTAGGAAAGCAGGCCAAGTTCCTAAATATATACTGGCACTTAAAAAAAAACACCTTTATTGTTTAGTCCTAATTCTATTCTCTTTGAGTAAAGTCTGCTTTGTTTATTTCAGGCACTCTGCAGTGAACGATAATATTCAGTCTGCAATGTACAAAGTAACAGGCCTCAGGCTGAGGATCAGAACAAGTCAGGGATCCCTCTAGATGTGAATGCTGCTTCCATAGTTGGCTGTTTTGAATCACATGTCATGAGGGCATAAAAGGACTTAACTAGACTGATGCAGGCATGCCTGCTTTTAGCAGTTTGTGACCTTTTCCTCCAGTGATTACATGAGTGCAGTGCAGCATAGAAAGCTTTATCTGTGTCCAGTTACCGCTCAGATTTTAAAATGGCGGTTTTGGGTGTTTTTAATTGCGTTTCAGTGTTGAAACGCAATTAAAAATGCCCAAAACCATGCTGAATAGCGTGGTTCCATTGAAAGCAGTATGGAAACCGCACTGATCGGTGCGGCACATAAAAATGTATGGGATTGTTCATGTCGGCTGAACCGCCCTGGTGTGAACGGGGCCTAAGTAAAGTTTCCTCTGACCTGGGTCTGTGATGACAGTTCTCAAAAGCACAGGAAGAAGAGTTCATATGTGTAAAGCTGCTTGATGCTGGATCTAATAAAAGAGCGAATGTGTTTTAAAATTTGCAATTATTCCTCATTGTAAATATTGTAATATTGTAGTAATAAGTCAAAATATGACAATTCCAAACATTCTCGTGTCTCTAAATTAGAAATATTTAAAATGTACAAATGTAAACGTTTAACAATTTACAAAGGGAGACGTCATATGAGCAGCAAAACATAGTTTTTTCGGAACGGAAGGATTTGACAGAAAAACAAAACGATGTAGGAATAATTGGGTGAAATAACCTTTAACCCCTTCATGACCTGAAGTCACTGAAGTCTAGATGCCCAGAACAAAATTTTGCAGCGTCAGTTAGCATGTTAACTAGAAAATTCTATGACTAGTTTGCGTACCTCAAATATTTTGAAATTTAAAAAAAATACATCTAAAGCTTTCTTTTGATACACTAGACATGCATTATTATTTTAACCATAACAGTTTTTAATCAAGAGTTACCTATTTATTAACATTCAATTGTCCTTTGACAGCTTCAGCCTGCCAGCATCAGCTGTCATTGTGACTCTCTGTGAGACAAAGTAACAACTGAAGCCAACAGGTTTGTTTGCTTGTTTGTTATTAAACATCACATGATCTCCATGGTCATGAGTAGGGATGCACAGATAGCGGTTTTTCGGTATTCAGTACGAGTACTGATATTTATATTTCGGTACTCGCCAATACCGAGTAACGATACAGGCACTTCTGCTAGCATAGAGCAGGCTTCCTGGCCAATCACGAACCCGTGCGGCGGGTCATTACCGGCCTCCGGGCTTCCTGATTCGCCAGGAAGCCGGCTCCATTCTGTTTGGCCGGCTCCATGCTGATTGGCTGGGAAGCCGGCTTCCCGGCCAATCAGCATCGACCAGACAAATCGGGAAGCTAGGCGGTGAGTCATTACCTCCTGATTGCCCGGGAAGCCAGCTCCATGTTCCGTCGCAGCACTGCTGGTCAGGGGAAATCTCCCTCTGGCCGGAGGTTCCAGTATCGTGGGAAGATATCAGAGCATTTGGGCGATTACGAGTACTTGCCCAAATACTCGGTATTGGCACTGATACCAATACTAGTATCGGTATTGATACGTTTGTAGTCATGAGCGTTGACCAGTGGCTGTCAGTAACAGCGCAGACTTACAACTAGTAGCGTGCACAGCTATGCTCTACTAGTTCTGAAATAGAAGGTAGATTAATATTTTCTTTCATAGAGAATTATGCCGAGTCACACTGATGTTCAGATTCCAGGCATCTAGGTGTTAAAGCATTAGCAAGGTATTTTAGCACTGTAACTTACTTTTGCCAGCCGTGCTCTTTTGATCAAGTCATTGAGTTTCCTCAGGGCTGCATTTCGTGGAAGGCTCTGAATATCTCTGAAGAGGTCTTGTTCCTCAGCTTCAAACAGCTTGCGGTTGTCGGGGATGAGAAGCGGGTGGGACCAGAATGATCCAATGTAGACTCTGACCACCTCGGGGGTGTTGACAATTTTCCCTAGGGACCACATGAGGGCACCATAGACCCTCATCAGCTGCTGGGTCTCTATCTGGTCAGCCTTATTGAGGACCACGCGCATTTTGTCTTCATGGTTCTTCAGAGCTTTGATGACTTCTGAGAACTCATCGGAAATGTCCAGTTTGTGGGCATCGAAAAGCAGAATAATGCGGTCCACCCTCTCCGCGAACCACTCCAACACAGCTGCAAAGTCATAACCTGCAATGACACGGTATATTATCGGGTTATTACAGGCCCATACTATATATAGAAAAATAAAAAAAATGGGACTGCATCTTGATGGGTCTGTTGGGAAGAAAACTTTGCAAGTTAGAATATATAAAAAAAAAAAAAATTTCAATTAAAACAGAAATTGAGGTGAAGTTAATCATGTGATATTAATAAGACTGAAGATTTTGTATGCCATTATAAGCTATGGTCAGACACGGTTTGTTCTATCCGCTGTTTCATAACAGTCTTCCACTACAACAACTTGGCAGTTGATTGGGGGTACAAGTACACCCAGTGGCGTAACAATCGCCATAGCAACCCAGGCGGCCGCTATGGGGCCCGGGCACAGGGGGGCCCGGTAAGGGCATCCCTCTGAGGCCGCGTGGGCCGTCTGGGTCGCTATGGCATGTAAGGGTGCTAGCTGTCACTGACACAGCTCAGCAGCGGCGTTTCCCCTCAGAGTCGAAGTACACCCATGACTCATTTAGTTGTGTAAGTAAATCTAAGCTTCAGCTATTGAGCACTGTAAGCAACAAGATATCAATAGACAGGTAAGCATGTGAAAAAAAAAACATTTCCATCTCTGGGCTGGAGATTAAAACAAAGTAAGTGAATTTGAAAAAGTGTGAGATAAACATGGGTCTAGCCTCAGATATGAATGTAAACCAAAAAAGTAAACTCAATAAACCACCATGTCTTTTTACATGAATGTAAATCAACCTATAATGGACAACACTGCACTCAACTACTGTTCCCTCAGCTAATTCAATCCCAACTCAACTGTTATACCTTTTAATCATTTGGAGCTACTCCAGGTATCTATGGGATGGTGGTTCAATGTAGGAGTTGTGGGGGTTGGGAGATTTACACTAAATGGCAAAAGTATGTTGGACAACCCTCCAAATGAGGAGATCTTGTGAGGGTACTGTGAATACTACAGCATACAAAGACATTGTAAACAATTGTCCTTTTCCAACCTTGTGGTAACAGTTTGGTGAAGGTCATTTTCTGTTCCAGCATGACTTCCACTGTGTACAAAGTCAGCTCCATAAAGACACGGTTTGACTAATCTGATGTGGAGGAACTTGAGTAGCCTGCACAGAGCGCTAACCTCAACCCTACTGAACACCTTTGGGATGAACTAGAATGCCAACTGTGAGCCAAGTCTTCTCATTCAAACATCAGTACCTGACCTTACAAAAGTTATTTTGGCTGAATGGGCAGGAGCCAGAAGCACTACAAAATATGTGGAAGGTCATCCTAGAAGAGTGGTGGCTGTTATAGCCATAAAGAAGGGAGGAACTCCGTGTTAATAGCCATCGGAATGGAATGTCCAACAAGCTCATGTGGGTGTGAGGGTCAGGTGTCCCCATATTTTAGCCATATAGTGTATGTGCATTATAGGGTCACCCACTGATTACCTCAATCTGAACAGCCAGTCATTGCCTGCACTCAGAACCCAGAAACACAGACCCGTATGTCCCGCAAAGGAAAAGATACGATCTGCATTTGAACTGGTTTAGGTTCAGGAGCAGCAGGTGGGGGAAAGCCATAAAGTTTAGTCTTGGATTTAATGTTACTCTAGAATCCATTCTCATATGTGTGTTTTTGATTTGTTGCTGTACACTTTTGTTACATTTTACATGAAGTTTAAATCTGGTATCAGTTGCAGTAAGGTGAGGGTGCTCTCCGCACACCTTTCAGCAGTCCCGGCCAATACACGAAGATGGTGCTTGTAGTAACTCCACGGATGGCACCGTGCAAAACGAACAATTGAAGAAATAGGTCACCAGCACTCAAAGAGTTTAAAAATGAATAAGTCCTTTTTATTGGACAATGGTGTCACGGCAATCAAAAAGAGCCGACGTTTCGGGGCCACGCAGGGTCCCTTACTCTAGGCAAAAGATGTGACCTTCAATAAATCTGGTATCATTCACCCATATAGGAAGATTTACTAAAAAGTGCAGAAAGTAAAAACTTGTATTTGTTCTTAGGTTTAAATACACTTTAGGGACTTTAAATACACTCCCATAAGAGGGCTGTACAGCACATTTCCTGGCGTATGCCACACAGATATGTGCAGCCAGCCTGTAGAAACCAATGACAGGTTGGCTACTGATATGCCTGTATAGGGAATGTACGCAAATCCCCCTGTGTACATATGTACCGCGACTTACGCACTGCGCCGAGCCCAGACCCTCTGTATTTGGTGCATTGCGCAAGTAGCTAGGTACAGATTAGCTCCAAGTCCGAAAAGGAAAACGGAAAAGGTTTTCTTCCTTTTGAGATTTTTTCAGACCTAAACGCGATAAATTGGAGGTAAAAGGATATAAATGGACGTACGTCACTTTACATCCCCCTGCCTATAGACCTTCCATGGGTCCGTTAAGCTTCGTTTTTATCTTCATCACAAGAAGAATGGACACGGTTCTGTTCTCCTCTGATTCAGCCAGCAATCTGTACATCAGTTGTTTGATATGGACATCACCCATGTGAAAGGGCTCTTAGAAGGAACATTTACAATTTGTAAATTAAAATAATCATAAATATACGGAACAGCAAGCAAGTAAAAACACGTAAAAAGTTGCATCAAAACTTCCTTTCAAATAAATGTTATAACAACACTTGAGAATGTGACCTTACAGAGAGTGAATTGAAGTTTCCCACTAGGTGTAAGAGTGCTGGATCTAGGCCAAGCTGAATCAGATCTGCTTATTCCCAGGTCTGTGAGAAAAGAAGAGTCATCATCTACAGAAATATGATGACTTGCTGGTGAATGACAATCTCTTTAGCAATGCCGGGCACCCGGGTTCAGATTTATTTGCATTATATATCATTTTTAGTAGTTCCTAATTTCCCAGCGAGGTTGGTCACTTGCTGCCGATACAGGAAACAGTATTGTTCTCACAAAGTTTATTTGTGTCTGTGATTACCGCCTCGGTGTGTGTAATTACTGGCTGGGGGGTTCCAAAGGGAAGATACCATCAACGGTGTCAACACATCCAGTCATCACATATACACTTCAAAATTTCCCCTTTCCTTGCCCAATCTAGCTCTGCGATTGGCTACATCAGGTTCCGTTTAGCAAATATTAGCCAAGAGTCATTTTTGTTCCTCGTGCGAATTTCAGGAAACCCTAAAGCATCAATAAAACACTATGGGGGGAATTTATCAAAACCGGAGCAGACAGAATCTGGAGCAGTTGCCCATGACAACAAACTTCTCACTTCAGTTTGTTCAGTTAAGGTTTGAAAATGAAAGAGAGAAGCTGATTGGTTGCCATGCACAGCTGCTCCAGATTCTGTCTGCACCAGTTTTGATAAATTCCCCTCCATGTCTTTTCATTGTTCCCATTGATTTTATACTTTAGTTTTTTTAAAAAGGGAAACTTTACTTTTTTCAAATGTGTGAATGTTTTATATACTCTGTATTGACAAAAGTTTAAAAGGAGAATTATGGGGAGAGCAAAATACATTCATCCCCATAGTTAGAGCCGACGTGCGACCCTGCAGCTGTCTTGTGTCGGCTCTATTGATCAAGAGCTGAGCAATCGCATACCGCTGATCGCTCAGTTCCCGATCTTCTCCCTGCAGAGAGCGGTGACTGTCAGTCATCACTCCCCGCGCGATTTCCCCCCTCCCTGATCTTCCAGTGCTAACTGGACGGACAGGGGGAGGTGGGCATTGCTGGTTCTGGCTCTAGAGAGGCAGAGCCAGCTGTCAATCAAGCAGTGGAGTGGATACAGACAATATTGTCGGGATGCTTGCTGGCCACAGCACGGCTCTGTGCTATCAGTATATAGCGGGCAATAGCCCGCTATATGCTGAGTTTTGGGTCACAGGAGGACAGTACATGTCCTCCTGTGACCCTGAAGAGAACTATGGCAAAAAAAGTTGGGCCATAGTTCTCTTTTAATGGACACCTGACCATCATACTTGTATGAGCTTGCTGAAGATCCCATTCCAAAACTATGGCCATGAATATAAAGTCGGTCTCTTCTTTGAGGCTGTACCAGTCTCTGCTACTCTAGGAAGGCTTTCCACAAGATTTTAAGGTGGTAATATTGCCAAAACATTGTGGACACCTGACCATCGCACCTATATAAGCTTGTTGGACATCCCGTTCCAAAACCATGGCTTTCCCCCCCTCATTTGTGGCTATAACAACCTCCACTCTTCTTGGAAGGCTTTTCACATGATTTTGGAGTGTGTCTGTAGGAATTTGTGCCCTTGGAGGAGATGCTGGTGGCATTTCTTTTTGCTTGAATCCATACGGCGCCATCTGCAGGTTACTGCAGCACCCATTATAAAGAAGGGGGAATATTGGTCAGGAACGTGGTGGGATATCTACATGATGGAGGAGTAGTATGGTCTGGTCACGTACCTTTAACAGGCAACATTACTGGGCTCTCCTTTAATTGCATTTAAAAAAAAATCTTTATTCAGTCATCTTAATAGTGCTCCACCTGCTTTGGAGTCCCAAAGCAAGCAGAGCATGATGCACATTTGTGAAGTATATCTCTGAGCTTTATACATTTTTAGTGCTTTTTTTTTTAAGGCAGTGGTAAGGCCACAGTCCCAAAGCACAGAGCATGTGCATCATGCTTTGCTTGCCACAGTAGGTCCATGCCAAGTCCACTGCTTTATAAATGGACCCCCCAACTGTGCTAAAAGCATTCCAAAATGAATTACGTGGAAAGGATTGTTTTCTCTCTGTAAAAGTGGTGTTCCAGATTTTCCCCCTATCCCTCCTCTGTATGCTTACTGTATAAAAGAGATTACTCTACATACAGTTTTATTTAACTGCAGACCAATCCACCCAATTGGAGTTTCAGTCCCGTGTTCTGTGCAGCATATGTCTAATAGCCAAAGGGTTATGTTACATGCTTCTGGGAAACACTTTGTTCAGCAGTTCTAGAAAGGGCTGCTGGATCCCAATTGGCTGAGAACGATCATGAGCACTTTAGAGTGAGAGCTCTTTCTTACGGT